ATTGGGATAATACGGTCTCTTTCGAGACTGAGGATCGGGCTGTAGTGGCTCTTTTTCAATGTGTCCTCTCTGCATGAGGTCGGTCGACAACTGTCTGCCATTTTACCCAATCCGTTTGGCATAGAGAGTTCCTACCCGACTGTCATGGTTCATTACCAGACTCGTTGAACAGCATTTCGTCTAATCTTTTCTTTTTAATTAAGAAATTTTCTATAAAGTTTATTCAGCGCACTTGTCGCCAATTAAAAAAATACCAAGAGGTCCATATAACTACGTCATGTTGTCGTTGAAGAGGCAGCGTCAGTGCATTCTCAGTTCCTCGTGTGTTGAGATTACTACAGTAACCCTTCCTGGCGTGCCTTCAGTGGGGTTACTACTCATCGTCATCAGCGACAGCCTGCGTGCTACTGCAAAGAGGTTGTTCAGAAATGACGAAGTATGGCTATGGTTTTGATGCGTCAACTAACAGGATTACCTGGTCATTTTCAAGACCAACTGTCAGGCTGCAATGGCTCCATCTGCATGTGCCCTATATAGCACTCTACTCCAGACAGTCCTCGCATAGTCTGGTACATGTAATGAGGACCAGGCCGTTTGTGGTGCACGTACACGGGCTGGTTACTTTTGCCAGTTACTGCGCCCGGTCGTCTTAACGCTTTCTTGCTGGAAGAGAAGGTGTGATAGATCCAGAGCAAGTCACGGGTACTGCGTTCACTCTGTGCGTAGACGTTGTTGTTTGCGACATTTGCAATTTCGCGTGTCAAACATAACTAAAGATGACTCGTACGGCCGCCGCCTAAGGAAGACGCGGGAATAGTAACTGCCCAGAATATATGCGGCCTTGCGGTAACGCCCAGTAAAATAAGGTTTATGGTTGAGGTGAGGGCTAGGTTTTCGGTTGGATTTAGGGTCAGGATTATGTTAAGGGTTAAGGTTTGGGTTAGTCTTAACTATAGGGTTAAAATTTAGGTTATGTTTTAGTTTCATGTTAGGGTTAAAGCGCAGGAATATCCACCCTTCTTGACGTTTATCACAAGGCTACCTACTTTGAGTGGACTGGGCGTTCCTATTCCTATGCCTTGTATAGTTGGGCGTGTAAGTCGTCCTTACAAAAGTATTATCTGCATTTGGAACTCCGTACCACTAGGAGGATTGTCACTAGCGCTTCTGGGTCATTGATATACTGTCACCATGCGACCACCTACTGCGACTGTAGATCCACAGTTTAAAGGCAAGTAACAATGCACCTATTCCCTCCTGCAGTCAGGGCAGATCAGGAACTTCGTTCTGCCTTGACTTGTCAAAATCACCTGCATTTTTAACTGCCAATCTTTATGGAGAGTTTTGCTTTATTTTAACTGTTGCTTACTTGTGTTGAGACTACTCAAAGAGGTACTTCCCCGACCGAGTGTTTAATGTTGTATTTCTTTTGTTTAAACAGCTGGTGCTGGAAAATGGCATCGAGCTGGCTGAATGGTTTGAAGCCCTTCTTCCGGTGAAACTGAAAGAGGAAGTTGCCTCCTGCCTTGTAAATCTTCGTGAACGCAATGGAACTGTCGCCACCTTCTTGTCCGCCCTTGTCGTCAACGAAGTCTCCGCTCTCGGTAAGGCCTTCCCCTACAACTAACATATACAACCATCGCTAAAACTATTCCTTATCCTGCTTTCTTACATCCACCGACATGGCACCTGTTACTTTCCTACTCCCCCAGCCGTGCAGATTCTCTGTTAACGTCATGTATTAAAAACCTCCTACACACCCAAGCCCATTAAAAGATCAACACAAATTCCGACTTCAGCGTGCACTTTAGTTCTTCAATCGTCGCAAGTTATGTCGTAGCTCTGACTGCCACATCAACGGAGAAGAACGCAGCTGTAGATCACCGTTGTAGGAGCTTCACGCGTGGGAAGTTGTTTCTTTTGCACCGGAGAGGGAATCTAATGCAGGTGCATTGGACTACTTGCGATGAGTCTGACTTGGTCCAATCTGCTTTTTGTTAGAAGTGTTACGGACAAAGACAAAAGAACCTGGAATGACCGTTTCTTGCCTGCTTGTGTTCATCAGCCAGCCATACCTAAGTTTAAGGCCTAAAAGTTAAGTCGAGCCAATTTATTTTCGGACAGCTCTTTTTAAGGTCAAATACTCCCCCAATTGCTCCACAGACTCACCTCTCAATCGCTGACTTCGGAGTTGTTCAAGGTCACAGGGAGGTGCCGCCGGAAGGAAATGAATATTTTCTTTTGCATAAACACAGCCCTCACACACGTGATTTGACGTCGATAATTTTTTAAATGGAATGATGTCAATGAGAGCGCGAAAGGTAAGCCGGAAATGACCATTCTAGGGTCGCTGGCCTGTGTCGGCGACACTGTCCAACTGTGGTTATCGGCGCTGCCACCGGTGGAATGGAGAGCGCCAGAGCGAAGCGCACATGCCTCTTTACGTCCGACAATCAGAATAGATATACAAACACCGCTTCTAGGCCCCTTTATTGCGTCGATAATCACAGACTGCTTTGTTACACGCCTTTTCCCGCCGCGCCACCAGCTGTTTACCGTGCGCGGCGTGCCCGTCCCGAGGAGTAGGAGTGAATATTTTTTTGAAAAAAGAGGACTTTCCAGCCCGCCTGATGCCTGAGAAAAACGCGCGAGAGATTGGCTGGGGCAGCTGACAGGTGATTGGAGGGGTCTGTAAGATCGTAAAACTATTTATTGCCGCATCTTCCGCGGGCATGGGCTAGATTAGCGAGCGGAAAGTGGATGCCCATGTTTCTAACAAAAATAG